TCACGTGAGGAGGAAGTGTCTTCTCTGAGTGAAGGTTAGTAGGGTAGGGAGGAGAGGGGAGAGAGAAGTCAGGTTGCTTTGATCACAGTGCATCATAGCATTTGCTCATTGCATTGTTGCTGCCTTGAAAACATTTCCGTCACGTCTTACCATGCCTCATTGATAAAACAAATGATCGTAGATATGCATATAAAAGAAAAACACAAGATCCATGGGACTCAGGGCCATCCGCGGTTTTAGGTACCTTACTGGGGATCTTGGAGTGTGTCCCAGGATAGTGGGGGACACACCCACTTTGATCTTTGGTGAGGTCTGAGTGAATTCACCAAGGGGGACTGTGTTCCTTCCCCAGTAGTATGAGCACGCGGGTTGTTGAGGAGTTCAAAGAGTGCCTGGGGCCAAAACAACTAGGGATGAGCTAGAGTGGAAACAGAAGGTGCGAGAAGGCAGAGGTCCCAGGCAGAGGCAGAAGCTGTGGTCTCCATCACTGGGAGAATCCAGGGTGCTGCTGAGCCTCCAGGACTAAGGGTCTCCGACACCCTAACATTTGCCGCTACTGGGGTTATCATAGGGTGATCCAAAGCTTGAGAGCTGTAACATTAGTCACTGTAGGAGCTGAGGGGCCCCGTACCTGAGAGCCACCCCCAGGAGCTGTGACACCGGCACAACTGTCACTAGCTGTGACACTGGCAGCTGCTTGCTGCCCCTGATCATTGCTAGAAACCTAGGGTTACAATAGTGCCCAATGCCAGGGCCACTGGGGGCAAAAGCCCATGGTGATGAGCCTCCAGCATGAGCACCCACGGCTCTGAGTTCCTGGCTTCTAAATCTTGGAGCAACAGGGTTCTGGCTCCCAGAGCGTGGCTGCAACCTCTGGACTCTGCCAGTCCAGCCCCCAGGGCCTTGGGCACTCAAGGGCTGGGGCTGCCCACTGGAGGGTTTCTTTATGTGCACTCAGACTCATATCTGGGTAAAGAAGGCCCCTAATGACTTACAAGTAACAGCAAGGCTCTGGGTGTGGCCCCAGTGCTTCAACAGTCTCACTCTTTAGCCTGGAACCTGACATCTCCATGGTAGCGGCTTCTCCAGGCCATGGGGGACTGTTGCTGACACCTGGTGGCCAAGGGAGGGATTGCTAGCAGCTGGGGAGGTGCAGATTGGGTAAGCTTCATCCAACCAGGGCAGGGCTGGGAAGCGGCCAGGGGGTACAAAAACAAGGGTGTGCTGAACCCACGTGACGCCTCTCACCTGTTTTCAAACTCCAATGGACACGCCACATTGCCCGTCACTCCAGCCACAGGCAAGGAATCCTGCCGCTTTGGCTGTGGCTGCCGGGCCCTTCAGAGCTCCCATACCCCATTTTCTCTTAATCTATATGGAAATTACATTGGCTTGAGACTTGCTGCTGGAGAGCATCCTATGTGTTAAGAGGCCCACTGGAGCCCCGCCACGGGCCTCTTGGTGTTCTGATAACTGTAATTTCTGTGTAATTGGCGTTTAAGAAATGCCAGGCGTGCTCAGCTGCCAGCCCACACGCACACACATGCGCACGGGTGTGTACATGCAGGGGAACAGGCCCTCTGGAAAGGGGACCCTTGTGTGTGGCCAGTGTGGGGTGCTGACTGTAGGTCGCATTTGCTGGGTCCGTTTGGCCACCCATGTGACAGCAGGCAGTTCTGTTCTGACAGCTGCGTTGGGGCAATGGCTGTAAGTGAGGCCTGGACTACACCGTGTGCCCGGAGGACCTGGGTGTCGGTAAATGTGTGTGAATGTGAGGAGCCGGGTGTGTGGCGCCCGACCCACAGCTCTGTGAAGTTTGGCCTTTGCGACTCTCAGGACCTTGCCCAGCCACTCTCAGAGGTAATAAGTGATGCAAGTCTGGCCAACCTACGTTGCCTGCCCTGGGAGGGACATGTGTGGCCTTCTGCCTCACCAGAACCATCTCCCCTCTGTACCTGTCTTCATTTTATAGACACAGAAATCAAGGCCCAGAGAGGTTCCAATTCTGCTCAGGACCACACAGGGACCCCAGCTGGGGCTGATGAGAGGCTGTGGTGGGGCTGATCCTTCTGAGCCTATCTGCCACACCTGTGATCCCCCTTTGCCCGTCTGCCACACCTGTGATCCCCCTTTGCCCGTCTGCCACATCTGTGATCCCCCTTTGCCCGTCTGCCACACCTGTGATCCCCCTTTGCCTATCTGCCACATCTGCTGCCTCACGCAGGGGTGGGGGTGGGGGTGGGGTAAGGGGATTGGGGGGTGAGGGGGCGTGTCAGGAGCTGGTGGGGAATGCCTTAGTTTTCCCTTCCTGTATAAATCCCACCATGGCTCACCATTGCTTGTAAAACCAAGTTCAAGCTCCACAGTCCATCATCCTGGCCCCACCCTGTCCAGTCTTATGACGACCACTCCCTGCTGAACCCCTGCGCACCAGCCACCTGGGCCACTTTCCCAGCCCCCTGTAGCCCCTCTTCCCATTCTGGACCTTCTGCTTGGAGAGCCTGGAAACTCCCATGAGCCCTGCGATGTCCAGCTCTGACCATCTTCCACAGAGTTGGTGTTTCCCCATGGCCCTCGAGATTCCTGCAAGTAGCTCTTCTCAGGGTGTGTGCAAACGAGCCTCCCCTCTGAGTGTCCATGGCCCAGCACCAGGCACAGAGTAAAGTCGGCAGATAAATGCAGAGTGAGTCAACTACACAGGTGTGCTCTTGCTGGAATACAAGCCAGCTGGGAGGAAAGTAGCTCTTCTCCACTGTTGAGAGTTGGCCAGAGTGTCCAGGGTGGGCCAGTACTGGAGGAAGGGGCAGGTTGATGGAGCAGTTGGAATAGGAGTTGTCCAGGTGTCCGCTCTCTACCATATGTTTTTGGCTTCTCCTTGGCAGGGGCTGCTGATAACTCAGCACTGACCCCAGTACCCGGGCTCGCCTCTGAGGCTCTCTGTGCCCTGGTGGGTCTGTCAGAGACAGCCTCATCCTCATTTCTGTCCATTTCATCAGATCGGAAGCTCAAGGCCAGTTCTGCTTGGCCGAGGCCAAGGTTTCTGTGGCTGCCCTCCCTTCTCCAGGACTTTGACCCTGTGAAGCACAGGAAGGGTGGGAACAGGAAGGGACAGTGGGGCTTCTGTGCTGGCTCTAGAGCTTTGCCGTCAGGGTCAGGGTTTATGCCTGAAGCTCCCACTCACAGCCCTAGCCATCAGGGCAACGCCCTTGGGCCAGCTGACCCATCCCTGCAGGAGGCCGGCAGAGCCCAAGGGACAGTAGCGGGGGGGTTGAGGCTTTTTGAGCACCAACCTGCTTCCAAAGGGTCAAGCCCAAAGAGAACAAGGGTCATATTGTCATTGCGGGGGGACAAGAACTCCTGGGGGAAGCCCACCAGCCCTGAGAAGGGAAAGTATGCCATGAGCCAGGTCTGGGCCGTTCTGGCTGTTGTTCAGCTGAGAGGTCCCAGATTCTCTACTACGAATGGCAGTTTTAGTAGCCATATTCTGGCCTACTCACAACCTGTCCTCTTGGGGAGCCCCCTCCAGACCTCGTGGCCTTTGCTGGCCTGTTCCTTGCACAGTGTCCTACTTGTGGCTCCAAGTCATGGGTGCTACAGTTGAAGCCTCTCAACAGGTAGGAGTAAGGTGGGGTTCTGCATGGACGAGAAGGGGAGAGAGGTGGGGGGGGGGCTATGCTGACTGTAAACTGAGCCCCAGTACTGGCACCAGGCGTGGCATAAAAGCAGGCTCTGATAAATGTTTGTTGAGATTATAAACAACCTTGCACAAGCAGCCCAGGAGAAAGGCAAGCCTTTTCCAGCTAGATAGACAGTTGTGTTTGTCAAAATGTTCAGGCTGGGGCCAGAGCAAAGTGGAGGGGTGGATTGCATGGCCATGAGAGGGTTGGGCAGGGTAGTTTAAGCTGGAACAGGAGGCAAGAGAGATAACCCATTGACCACTCTGTGGCTTGGGCTAGAAATATGGCTCCCCTCTCACTCTCCCATATTCTATCTATTGGAGCCCAGAACATTCTAGACCTGATCTCCCTTACTTCTCCTTTCCCAACCTTCAAACCATTGGTGAGTCCTGCAGAATGAAATTCTCAGCACCTCCCCGAACCTGACCCCCTTTCCCACTAAGCTTCTCTATTCCAGCTGGTCTAACTGTGGGTCATCCTTGTGTGTGTGGACCTGGCTGCTCTGCCCTGCCTCTCTTGGCCTGCCTCCAGTGCCCCAGTGTGCACTCCGGCTGTCCCTCTGCAGGAGCCTTGCTTCTGTGGACACAGCCCTTTCTCTGCACAGTGCCTGGCCACCTGGGCTAAGCTGCCTCTGCCCACCTTGACGTCCTGTGGTTCCCTGGAGCCCGCCTTTCTGACTCACTCTTCCTCTGCCTTTGCATCCCCCTGATGCTCGGCAGGCTAAACTTGCTGTCCTGGTCAGGGACCACTTCCTCTGCCCCAGATCCTGCTTCCCGATGTTCACAAGGCCTCCTCCCCACCCCACTTCCCCATGTCTTTTCTCAGGTAGGCACTTGCTGACCACAAGGTCTTAACTCCCCCCACTACCTTGCACTCCGTCTTCTTAGAGAAGCATAGCTCTCCCAGAGCCTGATCACTTATGGACATTATTCCTGTCCTCAGTGTGAAATAACGGGGCGTTAGGAAACAGGTGCTGTGGCATGATGGGCTTATGGTGTGGAAACCAGGATGTCTGGGGCAAGGGGGAAATTTGCAGCACGTTCCTATCTCTCCCTAAGACTCAGTTTCCCCATTTGTGTTCTAATGCTGGGCTCCCCATCTCACAGTCAGTGGTATCATGTTGGGGAAAGGAGCTTTTGCTTTATTCTAGAAGAGGGTTACCATGGAAACAGTCTTGGCTCGGGCCTAGAGAGCATCCAGCCCTTTGTTAGACTGGGGCCTGCCTTAGGCTACCCCCTCCCCCGCTGCCTGAGGTCTGGTTGTGAAGGGACCAGTGGCTACAGCGGGCTACGGCGGGGTGGACGGCGGGTGGAGGCGGGGAGGGCAGGCGTCATTCTGGCTGTACTTTTCCCCCAGCTCCTCCCCAAAGTGCTGTTTGCGTCACCAGCTTGTGAAGCTCTGGAGGACAGGGCAGTGTAGCCGGAAGATCAGGCCCCAGGGCACTCGACCTAGGGGCATATTCCCAACCCACGAGACTTTAGGGCCGGGACTCCGCCTTTTTCCGTGCCCCTGGCGGTGGCATTTCCTGCGCTCCTCTCCGCGGTGATAAGCAGGCTGGACGCCGCTGCACGCTCCGGTCCACAGGGGCAGAATGTGGGCCTGGCGGGTGCGCATCGCAGTCCTCAGTGTGGCCACAGGTGGGCATCCTTGGGTCCCTCCTGGGCGCAGCAACCCAGGACGGGACAGCTGCGCACAGTGGGCTGACAGGGGCCAGGCCGTAGTATTGCTAATGACCTTGGGCTCTAACCTGCAGCCTGGCCCGGAGCCACTGGACAGGCAAGCAGGGGCTCTTGGGAGGAGCCCGACCTCCAACAGCAGGTGGCGAGGCTCAGCTGGCGAGTGCTGGTCCCCGGCGCGGCCCTGCGCCTTTGGGCTGGCACAGCCATCGCCGCCAAAGGTGCGGGACGCAGCCAGGGGGCGCTGCGAGCATCGTCCGTCAGTGCGCGCGGCCGCAGAACGCACAGGTGCCAGGGCGCTCAGCGCGGATCCATAGAGAGATGAGGTGCAGGCCCTAGAACTTTCCACCCGAAGGCCACACGCTCTGAGTGTCTATCCCTGCTGACAGCAGGTCTCGGCTCCAGAACTCAAGGCTGGTACACCCTGGATTTCAGTACAGTGCAGGTCGTGGACCCTGAAGCCTACTGCCCTGTTCTGCAAGGGTTCCGATCTCGGTTCTGACCTTTCCCAGCTGTGAGACCTAGGCAAGTCCCTCGACTTCTCTGTACCTGGTTTTCTGCCTTGTGAGATGAGATTGCTGCAAGTAACAGGCTCACAGGGTTGCGACGGGGAAACCTAAATCACAGCGCAGTTGACTAGTGGGTTTGGCGATTTGGGGCCTTGGCTGTGGAAGCACAGAGAAGCAGGTTGCTGAGCAGGTGGCACTGTGTCCTGGCAGGTGCTAGCGAGGCGTAGAAGACATTTGGACCAAACTTTTCTCCTTGCGGGAAGACAGGACCAATGAGAGGCTCCACCAGGCTGATTTGGGAAACAAATTCAGTGCCAGGCCATTCTCTTCCTCCCAGAAGAGACAACCATTCTCGATCCTTGGGTACCTAGTTGTTCCCCTGCGCCATACAGTCCGTGTCCCGTGGAGGCTACCCAACTGAGTGCAGGTGTGGTGGGCAGCATCCCGCAGCAGGCGCGTGCTAATGAACCGCGCCATCAGAGTAAGGACAGGCTGCAGCCGCTGGATGCGAGGCTTGTGACCCGCTGCTTGACCCACTATGAAAGAGGGCCTGAAGCTGAATCAGCTCAAATTCACAGTCCAGAAGCGTGTAGGAGGAAGAGAGCCCAGTCCGAGTCTACCGTGAGGTACCTAGGCCAGGTTCTTTTCTGCACATGGATAATCAATACATCCACATCATGGTCTTAAATGGTGAAAACTATGAAGATGAACAATGGGTAGAGCTGAGGGACCCTGTTAGAAGGAGATAAAAGGCCAGGGAAGACAGAACTGCTAGGACAAAGGATGGGAAGGGGCTTGCCTACGTGCGTGCATGCGTGTGTGTGCGTGTGTGCGTGTGTGTGTGTGTGTGTGTGTGTGTGTGTGTGTGTGTTAATGGTGACTGAGAAGGACTCCAGGGCAGGGCTGTGCCCTTAGGCACTCTTGCCTCCTGACCCTGGCAGGCACTCCCAGCAACACTCTTGCAAACCCTCAGCTTTCACAGCTCGAAGCCCCGTCAATCCTTTCTGACCACAGGGGGGCAGCAGAAGACGCAGCTGTGAGGAGGTACAGGTGGCAGGCCAGCGGGGACTCTTCCAGAAGCCAGACTAAACACTGCAGGGCTCCCTCTCAGTCCCTCTGTGCTCAACCTTGCCTCTCTACTTGCTCCAACCTGAGGTGCATCTCTCCGAACCTCGGTGCCTCCACCCGGGAAATGGGAGCAATCAGAATTTCATCTTAGGGAACAGAATATTGAGTGCTTAGTAACAGTGTGTTTTAGCAGATTTGCTGTGGCTGTGGCCAAGTCATCTGTCCTGAGTGTTTCCTCAAGTGAAAAACCGGGGTGAGAATGGACCTATAGTATGGGATCTGAGGGCAAGATCAGTGATGCCAATGCACAGTGCCTGCCAGGTACCCAGCACGTGGGTTGTACAGTTCTTGACAGTCACAATAGCAACGCCATTTGTGACTTGGGGCTGAAAGGAGGAAGAGACCTCAGGTGTTCATGCCGAAAGCTTGCCAGGAGGAATGATTTGTTCATCTGGTTCTCATTAGGAAAGCTAGTCAAGATCCTCCAGGACTGCCCATTGGACAGAGGGGACACTGGGGACCAGAGAGGGTGGCAGATCCAGGCCTGGGATTCCCACCTGATTCCTGTAAGTAGAGTATCCTGCCCAGCTGCAGGACCTTCCCTTGGTGGAGGGTTCTCGGGCTGTCCTTTCTTGCTACTGAAGGCCCCTGTATCAGGGTGTGAGAGAGCAGAGGGCTCGGAGTGGCCAGCCCTTGAAGGGGCAGCCTCCTGAGAACTCGGAGAACGTTTGTGGTGGGTGGGGAATTCCAGAGGGTAGCAGCCCTGGGGCAGGGGGAGGGGAGGGTGGTGGGGGAGGGGTACCCAACCTTTCCCCTAGGAGTGAACCCCAGCTGTACTTTTTGCGGAAGCATGTTCCTCTCTCTCCTCGAGCCCTTGAGCAATGCCCACAGCCGGATCAGAGTAATAGCCCCGAGCCTTGGACACCCCCTACGTCTCCAAGGTTATTTTCCTTGTGGTGAAGGTGGTATTTACAGTGAAAACAGCCATTGAAGCAAATCGCAAAAATAATGTCAGTTTCCACTTTTGACAAAAATGGGAAGGCAGGTGGCTTCTTGTCTGCGATAAGCGCATCTGCTTCGGCAGTAATTACTATCTGAGATAATTATGAAAAAGAATTTAAATACTCAGGGCATGCGCGGGGCCAGGACAGCGTTCTTTCTCCTTAGTCCTAATCTCTCCTGCAAGTTGGAGTCTTGTCCCAACCGGGACAGTGCTGGGAGGGCCAAGGTGCAGGGGTAGGGTGGGGGCAGGCCAGGCTGGGCAGCTGCCCCTCTCCCAGCTTTCCCAGACCTCAGTGTCCTTATCTGTAAACTAGGTTGGCCCCAGAAGAGCCTGGTGAAGAAATAGAGCCAGCGAGGATCCTGGAATATTGTGCGTGACTATAGCCAGGTCTTAGTGACTTGCTCCCCTTCTTCCTTTTGGGGAGAAAGGGAGCCTCTGAAATCCTTGGCCAAGCTTTGGCATCACGCAAATGGAGATGGAACTCTCAGGACACAGAAGTCACAGCAGCAGGTGCCTAGGGGAGAGCAGTCCAGCCTTAGGGAATCCTGGTCTTGGTCTGGGATGGTGATAGGGTGGGGCCGGAACTGGACCCAGAGCCCAGGGCAGGAAGCTGATTCCAGTCTGGAGTATGGACCAGCTTCCTTGTCCCAGCTCAGCAGCACTAATCCTTGCCCCTGAGGGGTCTGAGTAGCACCCACCATTTGACAAGAAGAGGGCCCCCTGACAACCTTGGTCCTGAGACTGTACTGAATGGTGAATCAGGAGCCAAGAGTGCCCAGTTCTGGTGGATCTGTGTCAGTAGCGTAGCCAATGAGACACAGGAGGACAGAGCCTTGCTTGGGCTCGGCATTCCCTTGGCTGAGCCTAGGCCTTGTGATGGCCACAGGGCCATGATGGGCAGGAAGGAGGAGGGGGCTGGCCAAGGAAACCTTGGGGGAACAGGGCCTGGTGACTCAACAGAACAGGACAAGACAGGTGCTCCAGCTTGGCCTGGCTCTGCCCTGAGTCATTGTCTGGCTGCACACAAGACAGCATCTAACTTGGATCTCATGGAACCCTGCATGCAGGAGAGGGCTGGGCTGTGAAAGGGAGCCCCGGGGGCTTAAACAAGACAGGAATGTTATCTTTCTCACATTTAAGCTTTCCAGTGCCGGCTGGACAGAGGGAACCAGCATCCTTCTAGCTGCTGGTTCTGCCAAACCAAGGGGGAGGCCCAAGATGGCGGCAGGTTTCCAGCCCTCATATCTTAAGTCTACACGGAAGGTCAAAGGAGGACGGAAGGGAAAGGAGCCAAGTGGAGGTGTCAGTTACATCCCTAGAAAGGCTCCCAGAAGCTGCTGTGGAGCTTTAGCCTCCATCCAAGTGTTTGGAGGGTTGATCACAGACCACTCCTAGATGCAAGACTGAGGGTCCAGTGCCATGTGAAGTGGAAGACAGGGCTGGAGCCTGTGGCTGACTCCGCTAGAATGTAATCTGTGCCTTTCTGCACAGACTTGGGTCTGAGGAGTGGACTGGTACAAGCGGCCATGTCCCAGGTTTCCTAAAACAGAAAACAAGCTGTACAGACTGAGGAGCAAGGTCTTGAGCAGCATTGGGACTCCCCCTGTAGGGATGGCGGTCCCCTTGGATGGCAGCCTCCCTGGCCTTGGGCTGCTCTTTCGGCTCCTCATGGAATCCACTTGTCTGCACACATGCCTGATCGTCAGCCTGCCGGGGGCGCAGGAGGGGCACCCAGGAATGCCTGCGCTTCGGATGGAACCCTGCTCTATGAAGACTCTAGAGGGCAGGCTCTCCCTGGGACCTGGGCTGAAGGGAAGCGGCTGCCATGGGGCCGCGGGGGCGAGTGGGAAGGGGTAGTTATTTGCATGGGAGCTCAGCTTCTACTCTAACGTTCAGGGTCTGAGTATGACTCTGGTGTGGGTTCTGAGCACAAAACTAAGCAGGAAGTGAAGTAGGGTGAAGGCAGAGGTCGTCAATCAGTGACTCACTGGCCAGGGGCTTTCTAGGAAGACACCACCTCAGCAGAGACCTGCGAAATGAAAGGGTGCAATCAAGCCTCTGATCAAGGTGTTCCAGAGCACAGCCTGTGCCAAGGCCCTGTGACAGCTGTGTCTGGTGTGTCAAAGTTACAGGCAGGAAAGAGAAGGTGAAACACACTGGGAGAAGGAAGAGGTGGTGGTACCTGAGTCCGTGGAGGTAACACCATGGACCTCTAAGCTACCCATCTCTCTCCTGAGGCCCAGTGGCTTCCCTGTAACCACAGTTCCCAGTTAGGTCTCATCTTCTCCCAGCTGATTCTGTTCTTGTCTCAAAGACTTATTCCCCCTGCCCCCATTGGCTTAGACTGAAGTATAGCCCTGCAGTATAGGCATCCAGAAATGCAGTGTAGACACCATCTGCACGCAATCCCCATAGAGTAGATGCTCAGTGCTGTAGTACAGACTCAAAGCACTGGCGTGTAAATGCCAAGCCTTCGAGTATAGACACCAAATCCTGCAGTGTAGATGCCCAGCTTCCATTCCTGAGTCAAGTTGGAGGGGAAGTTAAGGATACTCAGGGCTTTGTGGTTCTGGAGCTGAGAGGCAAATTGGAACCTCCAGGACATATGGCAGGATGATATCCCAGAGTACCTAGCCACGCCCTCCTGCCAACTGTTGGCCCCCTTGCAGAGAAGTTCTGTACAGGCCTCATGGGGAAGGCAGGCATAGAGCAGAGAGACAACTCACCTCACACCTCACAGCCCCTGTGTGGCACGACCAGGCTCTAACCCGCTACCACCTATTCCACATGGAGACAGTCTAGTGGAGCTGGGAGGAAGGCTGCCTCTTATACCTAAGTACAAGTACAAGATGGGGAAACCGAGGCAGCTATGTGTGGTAGTCAGGAGTTGTTGATGGCCATGGTGGGAACTGCTCAAAGTCAATACTGGGGGCATTCTTGGAGCTGTGGGATGCCCCTAGAAACCCAAAGAGGTGATGACTCACCCAGGGTCACACATCCAGAAGACAGGCCCAATGGGCCTCCTCCCAGACATGCTGGGATGGGGTGAGGAGGCTGCCAAGGAGAAGGAAGGAGAGAGTTTCCGTCTTCCAGGCAGACTCCTCATGGCTGGCAATCACGTCATCGGCTGGGACACCACCACCCCCGGAGTCACCGTCCTGTCCTTCATGACCTCATCTCTTGGCTGGGTCCCAGCACAGTGCCTACTGCCTGGAATCAATACCTCTCGGCAGCAACCGAAGTCCCCTTGTCTTCCTGCCCCACATCCCAGCACATCGACCCACAGGCCAGCTCCTGCTCAGCAAGGAGCCCATGGGAAGCCAGCTGACCCGCTGTCCTTATCTACTGCCCTGAGCCCTTTAGGTAGAGGATGGAACCTTCACTCAAATCCAGCTTCTTGCCCTTTGCTCCAAGCCACGCAGCTCGGTTCTTTGAGCCTGGACTTCCCAGGTCTTCCAGGGAACCTAGCTTTAGTGTCCCTGTCCTGGCCACAGCTCTTCCTTACCCTGCCGGTGGTCATCACGGCACCATTGGGAAGTGGGGTGACAAGGAAGGCCAGAGTGGGCATTGAGTGACAGTCACCTGTGGTCTCTCAGGAACGCAGGAAGGCTCCCCCAACTACGGCTCTTCTCAGCCAGGACTGCTTCCTGGAAAGGAAAGTGGGCATGACTGTGCACTTAGAAGTAGGTCAGAAGGGACCCAAGGGTGGGCACTGTGACTCTCTTAATCAACAGAGCACATGATAGTTCCGGTCAGGAGAGCAGCAGACCCTCATTCCTCTCTGAACCTCAGTTTCCCCAGCTGTACAATGGGAAACACTTTAAAGAGCGTGTGTGTGGTGAGGGATGGAGACATGGGTCAGGTGCTCAGCAGAGGCTGGGGTCCTATCTTTCGAGCCCCACATAGGTAACCTCATTTTGTCTTCATGACACTCATATGGCTATGAGTCCTTTCCCATTTACACCTAGGCAAATTAAGCCCTCCTGAGAGGCCACGTGACTCATGGGTTAGCATGGAAAGTCCTCATGTGGAATCTGCTGTGCTCCGCCTAGGAAGTCAGGAGTGTGCTGATGGCTGTAATTAGTCTTCTCTTTGTGTCCTGAGAGAGAGCCTGGGGCAAGCCCATCTCTACAGACCTCACTCTCACTGGAAAGCACAATACACGCTCGGTTCTCTCCATCTCTCAATGATTCGTTAAGGAATGGAGGGGTGGGGCATAGGGCTGAGTTTTTGGAAACTTCTGGTACGTGGGGGACTGAAGTGTGGGATGAGGAGAGAAGTAGAGGCTGGTAAGGAATCTTGGGGAAGAGGGGGGCTGGGGCTCCACCCTGGCCCTGAGACTGAGCTCCTGTGCTGTCACCCATTCCAAGGAAAATGAACCTCCTCTCTGCTCAAGGCTGGGAGAAGACAGCTGGGCTAAGACAGGCATGGTCTGAAGCCATGGGATGGTCTTGCCACACTGGCAGGAAACCTCTGAAGGGAAAGCAACTAGAAATAACGTCAGTTCTGACGCCACAAGCTGCACACGGCGAGAGGGAGAAGATGTGGCTCCATGCTGGGTGC